CATGCCGCCATGTTGTTTACCCAACTGCTACAAAGCAATCTGACCGCAACAAAGAGAAGCAGAGATGGTCTTTTTGCATAAGATTCCAAAACCGCAAGTGACTGGCACAACAAACTAATGTGGACCACAGATAACAAGTGTTTCCAATTATGGATTTGTCGTATTTTGTGGACGCGCCCTTGAGGCTCATTAAAGAAAATGCAGGAAGAGAAAGGAACACACACTCATATTCAAAATTGGTATTGACAGTGCGGCCTGGCACACAATGCACCCAAGCTTCTGTTTGGGGCCAGGAAACTCCAGCCTTGTTAACAATGTAGTATTGAACCTTGTCGGACTACTGCCTCAGTGTAATAAATCTGAGTTTGCAATTCCAGGTCCCAAAACACTTTACTGTGTACATTAGGGGTTATGGCCATCCTAGTGATCGTGCATTGATGTACTGGCCATAAGCATCTGTAAATGGGATGGCTTTGTCTCACCGGAAAAAGAAGAGAAGCTATAAGTGTGGATTATTGATTGAGTGTGAGCATCTGTCTGACAATATGATACATTTATCTCAGTGATTTCCAAATGTGTGACTCACACATACAGTATGCTGTTCCTTTTCAAGTCTATTCCTCATCCTAAGGGTCATGTAGTGTCTCTTCTGTGCAGCGGCAGTGCTTGGCTTCATGCACTGTATTATTCACATCGTTTTGAGTTGATGGAGCTTGAGCTCATCCCAAAGCATTTTGGGTTTTATAAGTACAGAGAGTACATCTTTGATTGATTCAATTCAGAATACTTTCTTCTTAGTGGAATTCAGAATATGGTTACTTTTCAAAAGGAATACATCTTATTGATCATGCAATTTAGGCAAGATTTCACAAAATGAAATCATGAAAAAGATACTTTTAGTAAGCATGTGGATGCATTGAGTATTAAGTTACAAGAACAAAAGCGTGCCAAAAGATACATGTTGTATTTGTACACAATTATATAATATAAATGATAGCAAAAGTATTCCCAGTTTCCAGAATCCAATACTCTGTTAGTGCCCACTATTTCAAAGTATTCTCCATCACTGGGTGTGAATAACACAATATTTTGAGCTCGTTGAAATGAGGAATATACTCAACAGTAGTGATCCAGCTGTTTCCTGTTCCTGTCCAAGGCTTTTGTGCTAAAATTCTGATGTATATGAAAGTCTGAATGCAAACATATATTACATATCATATAGAAATTACTTTTTTTTTTTTCTTTCCTGAACTCAATACAGTAGCTTCCATTGCTATTTCACTTTGTCTTTTGTACCTTTTCCAGAATAGTCATTATCCACATTCCTACTTTCAGATAATTTGACTTTTAGCATAATTCTGTCCACGCCAATGTATGGGAGTAACATTTCCCTTTCTGGCTGCCAAGACTTGAAACTTGAATCAACAGTGCCACCAAACTGCTCTGTTCTGTGCCAATCCTTTCGTGCATGGATGGTTAATTCGTCACCATTTTCAGAGGTAATTCTTGTGCACCAAAAAATGAATGCCCGCCAGGACTCCACACAGGGCTCGGAAGTAATGTCACTCCGGATGGGGATCTGGTGGAGCTTCCTACCAAGTCTCTAGTGGCAACGATCAGGGCCCATTTGAAAGTGAGGCTGGCTTGTAATGTTGCACAACTGGGTGGTCTGCTAATGCCTTTGTGGTTACTGCCATTTTGGATGTAACCGAATTTGCACACAGCATTACGGTGGCATGTTTGGTGTGCTCACTGGTGTGTAGAGGGTGAGGGTGGGGGGGCCAGATGGCTGAAACCCTAGGCAACCAGCTCCAAAGCAAATAGGCAACCAAGCAGTGCAGCAGCAGAAATGTCAATACAACTTGCTTGAATTCAATTTTGGAAAAGTTGTTTCTTAAGCCAATTACCACGCTCATTTCCTCAGTTCGGAGATATGCCGACTCGATTTTTCATGTGCGTAATGGCTGTTACTTCTGAATATGAAATTGCCTAAAAGGTGTTTTTGCCGCGCTAGAAACAAGGCGAAGAAAGATTTCACATTGTGCAAAGATAAAATGATTATGCTAATGCTCAGGATTTGTGAGTGTTGAAAGTCCTCTGAACAATTTGAGAACCTGCGTTGAATGCAAGCCTGTGAATTCCAACATACAACTGCATGGATGGGCATCTGGTGTAAGAGTTCATGTGTTTTACCTTTCGGAGTCAAATGTACTGAATGTATGAATGAACACAAACGTACAATCAAATGGATGTAAAATCAGCAATTGCAGCCAGTGAAGTTTGTATTGTTGTGCTCCATACAGTATATAGCCACGCTAATACATTACAGAGCACGTTTAGCCCCCTTTTTTCTCCCATCCCTTTATGCAATGGATCAGACCAAAAACAAACAATAAGGATTGCAATAACACATTTGTAGCAGTACAAAGTATAAAGATACATTGAGAATAATAATGTTTAAAAATAAATATGTTGGATGACAAATCACATGACAAAATCATTATTTTAGATTTGAGTTCATTCACACCGTTCTTATGACCAAAAAATGCTTTAAAAGTATTAACATTGAAACCAGAAAAAATAACAATGTAATAAAATCCATGTAACTACTTCCTAGTTCTTCAAACTGTTTGGTTCCATCACTAGTATTTACTTACGTGTGTTTTTGGCCGCTCTGTTTGTCAAAGATTTTAAACAATTATTAAAAGATGAAGACGACATGCTGTTATCTGATTTACTCATAAGTTGTTACTTAAACAAAATAATGTAAGCATTCCAGTCTTAACAAACATTTTTAATACATTTAGATTTCTATTTTAACATTGACCAAATGTAGATAAATAAGTAAAGCATCGGCCATGCACCCAAAAATCAGATGTTATACGCAAAGAAGAGTCCATTAGGTGTATGACTTGATACGTTAAGAGTTCCGCGCCTTACTGCGCTCTACTTAGTTGAATGAAAACTTAATTATTCATATCCACCCTGAGTAATTCCATTTTTTTTTACTTAATATCCGCCATGCGATGTCAGATCCAGCCATCTGTACGACTTGACATATTCCCATTACTCTCTACATTACCTGCCAGCCCCACAGTACATGTGCGCTTGCATTCTGGATATTTCCCACATGTCGTTGCTATAATCCTTCCCCGGAGCGTTTGACAGCGGGGGGGGGGCTCGTCTGGTCACGGTCACACCTCATATACACCTGCGGCTAATCCCATCCCGCAATACCAGTGTCGCCGTATCCAATCCCGTCACAGGTCTCGGGGCGGCCCTGCTGACACCTCCTACCACCTCCCCTAACTGTCCACGTTCGCGCACGGCTTTATACAGAGTGTTTGTGTCTTCATTCCCGGTGACAGGGCCTGCCGAGGTGCATCTTTCCGAACAACATCCTCTCCTTCCTCCATCCGAGCGGCTGTCGAGAGCCTAATCTGCTGTTTTTACCTCCAGATACATGTCACGTCCTCACCATCCTCCTGACATTTCCAGCCCCTCGTTTGCTACCGTTCAAAACTACAAATTTGGCGTTGAGTGAGTTTGTGTCCAGATCACGAATGTTTTACAACGGATTATGGAAGTGTGGATGATTCGGTATTAATGGGCAAATGTTGTTTGTCTGGAGGCAGTATCAAAACAAAAAGAATCATTTGAGGTGGGGTACTTAGGTTTTTGTGTCAAATGAATTATGCATTTTGTTTATGCTCACAGAAAAGCCAAATCGCAAAATGTTGAACAATTCAGACCAGAAAATCCTTTGTCTTGATCCTATTATTCATTTTTGCAAAACTTGTAACACAGCGGCTATTTGGCAAGCATGGTTATGTGACCTAAAGCTGTGCTAGCAACTAAACAAAGTGTGGATACTAGTTATGTTCCATGTTTTGAATGTAAAGTCACACATGGTTTGAAAACATTTTTTTAGGGCTGCATTACAAGGATTTATATGAAAGAAGAAAAATGGAGAAAAGTATCGGGATTTAGGTAATTGCAAGGAAACTCAAGTTAGATCAAGTTCTCCCTCCACAATAGTTATTTTTTATTTTTTTTATTTAACAAGGTTTTTTTGTGATATGTTAAAACTTTGAATACATTTTAACTCGGATACATAATACATTGTTGTAAGAGCTTCATTCCGATCCCCCTGTTTTGTCCACATGTATTGCCCATGTTTTTTATTTACACCCACAGATTCCCCAGCTTTAAATTTCAACCTAATCTTCTTTAGTTTTACGTAACGTTTGTCGTCGGTGGTTCATTTCAAAGACTATGTAGCACTAACGACCACGTCATAAACGCAGCCTAAATACAATATTTATAATGTGCGTTCACATCATGTTCATTATGGCAGCTGTGTAATTGTAACCTGTGTAATGACTGTGTTCTATGCCAGGGGACACTTTCATATACACCTGATGTTTGAAATGTAGGACAATTACATAGATTACAGCTTATGATTGTTGTGAGAGTTGTGAATCACCGTTATGGTTATGAGGTTATTCTTCAAAGCTGGGATGGTCCTCTTTTTTTACACTTTTTGTCAAGATTCCAAAAATATATGCATGTGTAAAAACAGCAAACATTGAGAATTAATTCTGATTGAAAACAATGTATAATCACATCACATTTTACAATTACACTTTCTAACTGCACAATTAAGGTAATAAAGACCATTACGAGTGTTACTTAACTCTGTTCCCAAATAGTCAGATTCAATTTACTTTATAAAGAGTGTTTGAATGCATTATTTAGTATGAATGAATTCAGCCTTTTGTTGAATTATTGATGAGTATAAAAGTGTTGTAAATGAGAAGTCTTGTTTGCTTATCTTATAATACTTTCTTCTACTCATTCTGAGCTTGTTGAGTTTTCACAATCTAATAATTCTAAATCCAGGGCAGACTACGGGCCATGCATCACCACACTCAAATTGCTTTTCCCGTACAACATTCCAAAAATAATCAAATGTTCTCCTTGTTTTGTTTTCCTTACAGAGCCCAAGCTCCGGGTGCAGAAGACCAACCAGTCCCAGGCGTACTTGGAGGACAGCCGGGTGCGCATGAACTGCTCCATCACCTCTCAGACCAGCACGGACTCCCAGCATGCCGTGCTGTGGTACGTAAGGCGGGCGGCGGGCTCGGAGACGGACGAGCTGCTGCTGAGGATCGAGCGCAGCGGGGCGTTCGAGTATGGGGCGTATGCGGAGGAGGAGCGGCTGAGAAGGAGGGTGCAGGCCGAGAGGCTGTCCCCGCGCCTCTACACGCTCACCCTGAACCGAGCCGAGAGCAGCGACTCAGGAACCTACTACTGCCTGGTGGAGGAGTGGCTGAGCGACCCGGAGGGCGCCTGGTACCGAGTGGCCCGAGAGGCGTCCGGCTTCACGCAGGTCCTGGTCAGACAGCCAGGTGAGAGCTTTTTGATCCTGCAGCGTGCAACAGCAGGAGGAAGGCGGGATTTTAGCTAATTATACACATTGCCGTATTTTGCACCAACATTTTGATCTAGTTTTTCCATTTTCTGCACATTTAATCAAAAATAGCAACTTCATGAAAGAACAGTACATTTTACAAAGCGCACACATGAAGAGGATGGACGATTCCCAAAAGTACAACCATTATTTTCTTGTTCAATTCAATTTATTGCTGTTTAGCCCTAAATCATAACAGTAGTTATCTTGGAGGACTTTACACAGCCGTTGAATTCGCTAATACAGATCAGCGAATCAAAAAGTTCAAACACATCAAACAATTAAAAACACATTGTGGAGATAAAGATTTATATAAAAAATTATATGAATGTAGTATTGAAGGACATCTTTTCTTCTTACTGTTCGACCAGAAATGTACACATTCGGTTCATAAAAATTATGGTTAGGGTTAGCTATAATTTATAATGAGAAAATGTTTTCTGCCCAACAAACAAAAAACTTTATATTTTGTAATTTGATTATTCCAATCTCAACATTTGTGATTTCAAGGGAGGAATCATGAAGCCTTAAACAGAAGCAGAAGTCACTTGAGTGTTCTGTGCTGGGCTCAAGTCCAGTTCAGTCCAGATGTAAGCTTGATTTCATCCTATTCTCGTCCTGCTTCTGGTCGGAGTAGTTACTGATGGACTATAGTTTAAACATTCAAATCACAACTGAACTTGGGAAGAGATAAATGTTTGTTCTCGCTGTGTGCATACGGACAGACTGTGGCACATTTGAAAGCTCAGGGCCACAGACGATCATAGAGCACAAACTGCTGCAGACTCACTGGGCCTAATGACTGGCTTTAGGTAATGAGGAATAGGATCAAAGTCCTCTCTGGTTATTTCCGACTGGTCGTAAAGAATTGGCAACACATTCTTTCTTATCGAAAAGAATAAGTTAAGAACAAAAACAGTGGAAGCAGTAAAAAAAAAGCTTTATGCTCATTACCTATTCTAAATTACAAAAAAAAGTATTTTACAAACACATAAAAAGTACACACTGATGGTTTGTTCCAGTTTTGATATAGATCAGGACATTAAAATGATATCAGGGCTGATGTAGGATTAGTAAGTAGGACAAAGGACAGCGGTGGATCAGGCGACCATCTTGTCAGAACATATGTTCCTTTAGAAAAACATCACTGTCACTTATTCATGTTTTATTCATATTACAATTTATCATAGGAGGGAGTCACAATTAGATGTGACGATTTAGAAGTTTTAAAATCTATAAACCATATGAAAAATATACAATACATGTCAATTGTTTAAGATAGAAGAGATCCTTCAATTTGTCCCACACTGGGGAAATTTCAGTGCTGCATCACCGGTTACAGAACAGTAGGAATGAGGAGATAAGAGGGTACAATAAAATAAAATCTCTAGCTTTAGCATCAAAAATGCAACATTTTCATTCCTTTTTTCCCAGCACAAAAGAATATGCCGTTTCCACAGTAACATGGCACCCATTTAACGCTGCACATAACTTATTGGGTACTTAAGTCTTTATAGCCGATGTAAACTGGCCATAGGATGATATAAAGCTGCGGGGATTCTTTTCTCTTCCTCTGTAGGAAGTTTTGAAACAGCAAGCATTTGATCCAAGGTGCTTGCACATAATAAGTTTAATGCTATGGTAATAAGTGAATGCTATGCACCGTGTAATCACCACAGGTATTCATAAAGGTGCTAAAAATGCACTTGTTCTGAGGCACCCAGGAAGCCAGCCAGAAAGCTGCCTGTTGGGTGAAAAGAGGAGAGGCAGTGTGTGCCAGAACTGCCTCCTCCCGATCTCCTGCTGTCCCTTCTGCCTCTCATTTTACCCCAACAAGAAAACAGGGGTGTGTGGGAGAGATAGAGGAGCGCACTGAAAAGCGCAGAGGAAATGGGTCATTGTAGTTTTCTTAAGGCTGGATCAGGGAGTTTACACACAGACGGGAGCCGGAGGTGCACACTGACCTCACTGGAACGCTGCTGATAGCTCTGGGCGGCCACGGCCAAGCCAATTATAGTGGTTTACTCAGTTTAAAGTTTCCTGGACTGTTTGTATAATAGCTTGGGCTTATTCAATTGATGTTATAACTCTGTAAGAACAGTGTAGATTTACATAAGAAAAGGATTTGGATTACACTACTCAGGTGCATATCAGAAAGTGGAATTTGGAAGTTAAAGTGGATATAAATTGGGAACACTGTAGAAAAGGAACAAAGATGGTAAAGGATGGTCTGAAAAATGTATTGTTTGACTAAATTACAATTACATAAACATTTTCCAGCAACACACTTTATATTGTAATGAACTGTTCGTAGACTTGTAGTAGGACACGATCTATTCTATTTTGTGGGAGAGTTAATTGAAATTGACAACAGAGCTCTTTGATGAGCACTGAGGTTCTGTATTGATCCGACAGTGTGTTGGTCTCCAATATCTGTTCACATCAGGATCTCTTGTTTATAGTCCAGAAGCCAGACTGGCCCCTCTGCAATGTTTTGGCTACATGTTCTTTTTATTATCATTTGTGTGTACCTCAGGATGTTGTTTCAACTCAAAGCCCTCAAAACGCTCCTTTTTACCTGAAACAGAATTTGTAGTCAACATACATCACTCCTGCATTTACTTTTAATATTATTATTAATATTAAAAGTAGGCAGTAATCATTATAACATATAATCATTATAGCATATACTTTGATCCCGGGGCCATGGCCTTTCTATGTCCGCGTAAGTTTTCTCCAGGTACTCCGGTTTCCCCTACACTACAATACAATCACAGTGTGTGGCGTGAGTGAAAAATACACCAAATTGTAAAGTGCTTTGTTTAACCAGGGTACTTCTTGCTTAAGCCTAATTGTCTTTACAAATATCAAAATATATTTATTTTCCTTTGATTTGAGTGTTCTTTCTGGCATTCCTCTAATCTCTAATCCTCCCGGCAGAGATCCGGCTCCAGGTAGAGGAGCAAGAATCAAACATCACCATCCCAGCCTCAGGCTCCATCCGTCTGGGCTGCAGTATTCCCTCGCAGTCGTCTCGAGATTCCCGCTTCTCCGTGTCCTGGTACGTGGAGCGCTCCGACAGCGAGGTGGAGTACCCTCAGCCCGGAGAGGAGGGCCGGCAGAGGGAGTGCGTCTTCTCCATCGGCCACGACGCAGTGTTCGGGAACGGGAACTGCAATCCTCGCAACGAGGGTGGCCCCAGCTCGCGCCTGCAGTTTGAGAGGCAGACGTCAGACCAGTACAGCCTCATCATCCAGGCAGCGCGCCCTAGTGACACGGGGAGGTACTACTGCCACGTGGAGGAGTGGCTGCTCAACCCCCGCAACGCGTGGTACCGGCTGGCCACCAACAACTCCGGCTTCACCTTCGTCAACATCCAGGCTCAAGGTGAGATTATCTAGAGGAGACACATGGTCAGTGAAGGGATCGGGGCAGGGATTTGGTTTTATAAGAATGGAAAATTTGAGGGTCAATTTAGTTTATCATGTGAAAATTAGGTTAAAAAAAAAATTTTAATTGAAAACTAAGTAAATGTTGTGTTTTAGGGTTAATATTGTTTTTTCAGCGGCAGCGCCTTAGTTTCTGATTCTGATTGAGTAAGATTAGACGTCGGTTGGCAATCTAACGATGGATAGTGAAAGGCATGATGGCTAGCTCACATGTATCAAGGTCACGTGACATGTGTTTTATTGTCCCAGCATGAAAAGTCTGAGACAGTGGGGGCGGGTCCCGGCTCAAAAGTGTCCAGGAGCATGTGCGCTGACATGCCTGTAATCTGGCTCCTTGCCGGTGGTGGCGTACCCGGAAACAGAATTACCCATTGCATTCTTACAATGCCTTTATTTCTCTCGAAAACGGCTTTACAGGATGGTCCAAAAGTCGTCTCTTTGCTTAGCGCTACGTTCCAGATGCGTGTCAAGGCTGAGGAGAGTTTTTTTTATTTTTTTGGACCAGCCTAGTTTAGCCGCTGTGGACTTTTGTATACACTTGTTATGAATGGGGCTTGTGCCGGCTAACGCATGTGCGACTGCGGGAGGGGCCACTCACGGTCATTATGAAAATGACGCCAGGAGGGAATAGATGATGACACATAAGTTTCAACAGTGGAGATATGCGTCACTACGTCCGTTATATTTACCTTCTATGGTCTGATGAGACGTGCACACAGAGCTATATGTGCTTCCCCATTGAGCTTGTACACTCCGGCCATTTTCATCCTCCGTGCAGTTTACGCACAGGCTGCATTTTGGCAGCGCATCCTCAAAAGAATAAAACTTGAGCTTGAGAAAGAGGTTATACATCTAGCTCTTTACCTGTTTTAATGACAAAAGTAATGCTCGTGTGGAGCCCTGATGTGTTATTTTTAGATCACCTAGCTCGTTAAAAAAACGGTTTCCAAGACTCGCAAGCGCTGTGTCGCAATAGTCAGGAAATAATATATAGCTGATTAGCTTTTGAGTAGTTACAGTTTACTCTTGTCTATTTAAGTTCATATCCCCTCTTTGTATAATAGGTTTGTAACGACAAAAGAAAGATACTTTATTGATCCCCGTAGGAAAAAATCAGTTGTCTAGTAGCAGCATAAACATACAAACAAAACAAACAAATAGATCCTTCAAAAAGTAGCTAACAATAGTATTAAGATGCAACAGCACTTTAGGTCACAACAGCAGAGGTGGTGTAGCCTTTGGGTGGAGCAGGACAGGTCACAACAGCAGAGGTGGTGTAGCCTCTGGGTGGAGCAGGACAGGTCACAACAGCAGAGGTGGAGTAGCCTCTGGGTGGAGCAGGACAGGTCACAACAGCAGAGGTGGTGTAGCCTCGGGGTGGAGCAGGACAGGTCACAACAGCAGAGGTGGAGTAGCCTCTGGGTGGAGCAGGACAGGTCACAACAGCAGAGGTGGTGTAGCCTCGGGGTGGAGCAGGACAGGTCACAACAGCAGAGGTGGAGTAGCCTCTGGGTGGAGCAGGACAGGTCACAACAGCAGAGGTGGTGTAGCCTCGGGGTGGAGCAGGGCAGGTCACAGCAGCAGAGGTGGTGTAGCCTCTGGGTGGAGCAGGGCAGGTCACAGCAGCAGAGGTGGTGTAGCCTCTGGGTGGAGCAGGGCAGGTCACAGCAGCAGAGGTGGAGTAGCCTCTGGGTGGAGCAGGGCAGGTCACAGCAGCAAAGGTTTTATAGCAGCATTATTGACTGTAAACATGCAGGTTCCATGTACTCTAGTGGCATTAAAAACATCCATGATTGGATCAAAGCTGGTGTAAGTACAAGTCGCTTGACGCCAAACCAAAAAATGAGTGAGTTTGCAAATCACAGTGGATTATTACAACACAGATAATGTGTTATAAATGTTTGCCAGGGAGTTTTACACAGGCTATTTTAATGAGTAACTAAAACGTTTAAAGGTTTAGTAATAAATAATTCATGAGGTTTTTTTTTTTTTTTCAACGTCTGTCTCCTCTGATGCAGGCCCCAAATGGAGCTTAATGTTGGGGTTGTTGTTGTGACTGTTTGAGACGGGCACAGTACTTCATATACTTTGAATCATGTTGTATACATTTATTAACAAGTACTTTGATGGAAACTTTTGTTCTCCATCTCCTCCCTCCTCCTGGCTTTCCCTGCATGCTATTTCAGAGTTTGCACAAACTGGCTCTTGTAATTGAAACCACTAATGTTATTGATTTAACTGTAAAAGTCGCTATTAACATTATTGTAATTGCTTTTAGGTTTTTTTACTGCGCACTATTGCGATACAGTATTGCTTATAGAACAGGGTTACTAATATATTACCAGTGTACATTTGTGCCTTTTAAAACCGCATATGAAACAGAAGCTGAATATTTTTTTCATATTTTTGTCTTTTCTTTGTTTGAGCCCTGTGGAAATGCCAAATGAAACTGCTCAAGTGTAACAGGTTTATGGAACTAATTTTGTCATATTTAGTATATTTTCCTTTTTCTGGCGTTTGTTGTTGTAATGTTGGGAATCTTTGGCAAATAGGCACACTTTTTTGTATTTGGACAACACCCATATAACAATATTAAAGATTATTCTATTACCAAATGAAATTTGCTTGTGCACTTTGTATCTGGAAATTGGATTGAACAAAAGACTAATGTTTTTCTTAAATGGTCTCTGTCTCTCAGCAGCATCATCGGTCCATTCTGTGGTGTGCTCCAATGAGTCGCTTTTCTACTTTGTCTTCTTCTACCCGTTCCCCATCTTCGGCATCCTCCTCATCACTCTGTTACTGCTGCGCTTCAAGTCTCGCAACAACAACAAGAGCCAGGAGGGCAAGAACGGCGCCCCCTTGCTGTGGATTAAAGAACCACATCTAAGTTACTCTCCCACCTGCCTGGACCCGCCCGCCCTCAGCCTACACCCAGGATCAGTGGATTAAAGTTGATGAGGATTTTTATTATAGTCCACTTTGAGGATCTTTTAGACAAAACAAGGAGAGAACTTGGATTCTTCTAACCGTCCTTCACTGCTGTGTTCGAACAGGACTACAGAATGGTGGCCATCTATTTTATGTTGACTGTGTGTGTGTGTGTGTGTGTGTGAATGGAGTTGAGAGTGCAAGCATGAACGCGATGTAGATTTGAAGGAGAGCATTATAAGCCTTGTTTTTTATGATTTCAGTGAATGTCATAGCTGTATTTTGGGGTTTATGACCGTATATTTGTCTATTTTTTCAAAAATAAAAAGAATACAAAGTGTTCACTTGGCAGCGCCGATCCAGAGTGGACACTGTTGAGATTAAACTTGACTCGGGCACTGAGTGGAAGCCAATAAGTCTTTGCACTGATTCTGGCCCATGCTGCTGGTTGCCATAGTGATGGTCTAGGCCCACAGACTCTGTTGCTGATGAGTTGGTTGGCAGCCCACAAACAGACAAAAGGCAAGGACACACAAGTGAGTGTCCTGAGCGAGCGTCCACCTGCCTTCACAACACATCCGCCTTGGCAGCCGCGCTGCCACACTGCCTCAGAGCCTCTCTGGACAGCACAGAGCCATGAGCAGACATGTATTTAGGCTGAGAGCGCGTCAGTGCCAAGACCCCTCCTCCGCCAGGGTCCAGTCAGATTGTAAATATGTCTGCTCGCCTGCTGTGGCTTTATGGATGGGCCTTGTAGGCAAAGAACCTTTTTACATTCATTTTAAGACGGTGAAGTTGGCCTCTGCTGGGATTACTGACTGAAAGGAACTTGTTGCACATTTATTTATGTTGCCCTTTGTGAACCACTATGTTCTGTCCTTCGAAGATTTCAGAAGATGCATAGAATAATAATGTTGATCTCTAAGAGCCACTCTAAAGATTATTTATGTGTAAATGTTTGGTGAACGCACTCACTGTTCTGTGCTCATTAGAATGACAAATCTGTGAGCAGAGTGTTTGATTTGTGTTTATTTTAAAAGTTCTATTTATTATTTTATACTATTTTGCATAGCTTTGTAACTTTTTGCTTTGAATTTCTCAAAGATATGTGCTGCTTGTGTTGCCAGGCAACTGCACCAAGCAGATTATGTCAATAGCCTGTGTGTTGGCAATGTGGTAGATGTAGAAATGCTAGATTCGTCCTGCGCACTGCAGTCTGTAGCATTTCATACCGGATTGTCCAGTCCAGTGTAAAGACACTGTATATCTATATAACTATAGTGTGTATTATAGTTAAACAGACCGGTCACTCAAATGGATTCACATAATGCATTTGCTTGAGTTGTGTTGAGTTTCTTTAGTGGAATGTGATGTAAAACCTATAGGTAGGTCTCAAAGTGAACTAACACGTGTCTAATCATGGATTCTAGCTGAGGGCGCCCTCTTCTCTCCTGACACAGCGGGAACACGTCAGGGGGGGCTGAGCCGGACCCTCTCACTGCCACCACACCGGACAGCCCTGTCTCACTTTCAAACTGTATATTGCATGACAATATTGAGGAGGAATTTCAATGTTTTGTAAACTCTGAACTCTCTGAACATTGTGTTTGTGTGACAGAGCAGAGCCCTGAGCCAACACTTCCCTCTTCATTTATCCACTGCCAAAACCTGTGAAGCAGTGTCAGCGGCTGGTGTATAGATTGTGTTTGATATTATTGTTCATATTTGTCTTTTTATTCTTTGCTTTTATGCAGCACTACATTCAATAAATTTATGTCAAAATATAACAACATGTGTCTGGGTTTAATGATGAATAAATTATGGAAACAATATTTTTTTCAAGACACAAATTGGTCTCTTCATAACAGATGAATACAATGATTGAGTTTAAACTATTTTTGATCTGAGCAGTCTGTCATTCTGTACGTTTTTGTGTTCCTCGTTTATGTAACATACAACTCAGAAGATCCTTTTTTCCCCCACACAGATGTCCAACCACGAGTGAACAATCACCTGTGAACAATGTGATGTACTCTTCAGACCTCAGAGGAGTCTGAACGAGAAAGACCTAGAAAGAACGAGAAAATCTATACAGCTTCAGTGCCAGAATTATTAATGGAAGTAAAATGTGCATGGTTTCAACAATATTTATGTTTCAACTTTTTGAGAAGATTATCCAATCAGAAAGCAGAAGGAGAGTTTTGGATTTTGAGGTGAAATATGTTGTTTGTTTTTTTTTGTTTTTTTTTAGCAACAAAAAACTGAAATAAGTAGTAGTAATATAAATGTGTGTACACAGGAGTTTGTATGCTTCCCGGCTAAACTCCAGCTGGTGGTTTGCATCTGTAATCAGTGCTACATGTGTGTCAGAGGCAGTTGGATTATGGCAGCAGAAGTTAGATAGTAATTGTAATCTCTTAATATAAACTACATACAGCCCCTTTTAACATTGTTCAAATGTAACAGAACGCTCCTGGCCTATTGTTGGAAAATACAAGTATCTGGAAGCAATACTGACTTGTACAGTACATTTGAACATCTTATGAATGTGCAAAACAAACTTCCTGGCCATAACCTCTGAGTGAGTGGTCAAGGTTAAACCCTGGCAGGCGCAGAAGTCTTGACATAACAATTGGTTTTGACCTCTGCCTTACATTTGCGGTTTGCCGTGTTCAGCTGCTGCAGTTCTGTTTGTGTGCATATGTTTGCAGGTCAGCAACTCTGTGGAAAAGAGCTGCTCAGCCACTCACAATGTGCCGAATCCACCAAAACTCACACCGATAAACTGCTGCGCCGAGGGCAGTCCGGGTGTCTCCACTTGTAATTCTATTCGCAAGAAAATAGTGATGATGATACAGGGGGGTTAGGCCAAGTTTACGTTTTGGAGCGGTCTTCATGAGTGTGTGCCATGGTGTGGATTTGGCTTTATTTTGACATTAGTTCTCTCTGGTTGGATTTCAGTTTTACTTCCTGTCTTTCTGTGTCTTTATGTACGGTCGGCACTAGAACACTATGACTGGAACATACTGTATACGGAATCGGGATGGAAAGGGAAGTAAATACAACCAACTAAACAAATAGATCCGATGCCTAAACTTAACCAGAATTACCCCAACCCACCCTTAACCCTAACCATAACCATCTTACTCAGACACCTAAAACTTAACCAGTCAGCACTCAAGGACTTATTAGTCTAAAACTAATTCAAAAGTTGGATTGTTACTTCCGCTTCCATTTCAATTCTGTATCTTATCTCCCAGGTGCACTGGTTTCGCCTACCATGAAAAACTTGTACAATAGGTGTGAATGTAATGAGTGAGTGAATGGATGGTGTTGGTTGGGAGCAATGTTTGGCGTCTTGCTTCCGTCATGACCGTGTGTGGAGAGAATGGACAAATATCTGAGCTCAGTAATAGTAAAGTGCTTTAGGTGACCTTAGTCTGTAAAATGCGCTATATGAATAAAAATTACTCACTTATTATGATATTATTCTCTCCTTAAAAAAACATGTGCCTGGTTTGATTGTCTCACACGTATCAGTCATTTTAGTAACAGCGGCTTAAGGGGTAGGTTTGGTGCCTCTCAAGATCGCAGGTGCAATCCCTGTTCCGGCCTTTTTTATGGAGTTGCACGCTTTTCTCATAGTATTTCCCCACCCCGCCCCCCCAACACCCCCCACTCCCCAACCAGGTGAAATCCTCCTTACCAAGCCGAGCATCAACATTTAGGACTGGGTCTGCTCTTGACAGGTTGCTCAGCTGGTAATCCAGGATGGGGCAGATGCAGAGGACAAAATTCAGAACTGAGAAAAAAAGTATACTTCCATAAAACAACAGAAAACATGAGAATCTCCATGGAAACAAGCAGGTGACTGAGACGCAGATGTTATTAATATTACTGGAAGCCTTTGTGGCACTACATTAGCACAATGTTGCTATAACAACAGTAAAATAAAACCATAAATTGACTTTGACTAAAAGTTGTTCATAAACCATAGAACCGTTTACAGTGCAGTGCAGGGAAATTAACAGCCTCATGTTTTTTTTGTCGTACATTATGGAAAGCTTTGAATCTTGCACAAAAATAGGTCCTCGGTGGAAATAATGGCGTCACTCGGGAGATGCATTTATCCGTTGATGGCTGCATACAGATACTTTTGATGTTATTGTCAGTCAGCTTTTGTCACTACTTCTGTGGCTCTCTCCCTCTCAGCGCCGCCTCCATGTCCCAGTTCTGTTTGCAGCTCGCGTTTTGTAGTTTTAGTTTGAGAAATGTTTGGTGTAGGAAAAAAACACAAAGACGTGAATGTTGTGTAGCAGTGCGGGAGAATAGGCTAAGGACATATTTTCACGGTAATGTGGGAGTTAAAACAAAAAAAGTATAGCACAGGTTTAAAGCGTTGAATAGAATGGAATAGGACTCATGTTGGAAGTGGAATGGTTTCAGGACAATCAGTCGGAGGAGTCATGTGTTACTGTTTAAAACTGGGCCAACCAACTTTCAACTCACAACAAAATGAAGACCAACCCACCTGATGAAGACCATGGAGCGGCTCATCCTCACCCATCTCCGCTCCGTGGTCAGCCCCACCCTGGACCCGCTGTAGTTCGCCTACAGACCCAACATCGGAGTAGAGGACGGCGTCATCTACTTCCTGCAGCGGACGCTCTCCCACCTGGAGCCCGCCGGGAGCGCTGTGAGGGTCATGTTTTTTGACTTCTCCAGTGCTTTCAACACCATCAGGCCGGCGCTGCTGCAGGGGAAGATGGAGGACGCGGGAGTGGACAGTAGCCTCACTGCATGGACCATCAACTACCTCTCAGACCGACCACAGTACGTGCGGCTGCGCAGCTGTGAGTCTGAGGTGGTCGTCTGCAGCACTGGGGCCCCTCAGGGCACTGTTCTCTCACCGTTTCTCTTCACCATCTACACCTCAGACTTCACACACGACACACACAGCTGTCACCTGCAGAAGTTCTCCGACGACTCCGCCATCGTGGGCTGTGTGTCTGAGGGGAACG